ATAAAAGGAGTAATGAAACCATTTTACAGCATAGATCATGCTACTTATAAAGTTGATGATAAATCTAATACTTATATTTATCTAAATTTACAATGAATTTCTAAAAAATACTTGTGAAAGCTTATCTCCGTATGAACTTCATTAGAAAATTGGAACAATTGTTATGTTATATGAGCGGGGTACAAAAAATAGTTAAATTAAAAATGACATGATAACCCAGGTAATTTCACTTTATTTAGAGATGAACTTGAAGGGCGGCTGCTGGAAATTATTTAAAATAGTGAGGGAAGCTCACGGGGTTATTCGGTAAGAGGGTTGTATAACAGTGGGAGGTGGTTGAGGAAGAGTAGAGGACAAAGGGCATAGAGGGGCTAAACGAAAATTTAACCTCATAAGAATAAGGTAAAAAACCGATAGAATTTCACCTCATTAAAAGGGTCACTGAGAGGGAGGGCGGCTCTTCAAAATTGAGCAAGGGTCTAAGGGGGGGTGAAGGGATCTTAACAAAAAGTTAACCCAATAAGAATAAGGAAAAAATCAATAGAATTTTATCTTATTTAGAGGTGGCTGAGGAGGATGTGACAGGGGCTTGTGTGAAATGACCTTCTTAAATTAATATATAATATAGGAAGGTGTGCATGCGCGCGTGTGGACCCGTGTGTTTGTGTTACATGATTTTTTACAAGTTGCTGTTTTACTGATAATATAATCATTAAATTTCTTGATTGCATCTCTGACTAATAACTAATGACACACTGAGAGAAAAACGAAAAAAAAAAAAAAAAGATTATTTTAATCGTCATTAATTTTTTTTTTTTTTTTCTAGCCCGTAACTATGTCACCAAATGTGGGATTAATTAATTACTTGGAACAATCAAATTAAGTGGCATTCTCATTTTCCTAATCGAAAAGCTATTTTTTCTTCTTTTTTTTTTTTAGGAACGCGGTCTATTAGCTAGATAGTGACAAGAACTTAATTGTTCGTGTAAAAAATAATTTCCTATGAATATTCTTCAACAACTACTTTTATCGTAAAAACGGTATGAGCAACTTAATAATGCTATTAAACAACCATTTAATATAGTGCTGATAACTAATCAATTTATTAAGAATTACAACTAATTTGTATTTATACTGGTGACTCAACAGTTTTAAAATTGTAAAAAATAGAAGGAATTGTAAATTTTTTAACGGTACATGTCTCAGAATTTTTTTAGTTACTTACGTAGCTCTTTTTGCCTTACTCGAAGAGTCCCATTGTAACTTGTGTTAAAATTTTAAACTTGCAACTTTATTAACTCAAAAACCAATGTGGTAGAAATATTTTTTTATAATTTATTCCGAAAAAAAATCCATTCTATAACATACATTTTTTTCGAGGTAACCGAAGTTAAAAAGTGGTGGGTGATAGACTACCTTAATTTGAAATGAGAAATTTTTGGAAAAATTTTTATATCGAGAAGATTACTTGTGTAAAGTCAATGCTATTCTGCCTAATGATTTCTATTACATTACATTTAATGTTACTGATAGTAAAGGAATCCTCTCTGAGCTGATTTCTTTAAACAAAAGTCTGATCAAAAAATGGGATAACAGGGGCGTTTTCAACGCAGTAGAGATTCCTGTGTCTGATATTTCCAACTTAAATGGTAGTCATTTGTCCAGAGATTGTGGCATTATCAAGGCACATAAAGATGATTTTCAAGCCAGATGAAGTGTACCATCAATAGGTTCCCCCATTTATAAACTTGATAAATAGTTTTCGGCCCTTTTCGCAAAATTCTTAAGCCAATTTAAATATTCTGTTGATAATTCTTATGAAGTTAGGGAGAAAATTGAAAAATTAATAATTCCGTATAGTTATTCTTTTGTTTCCTTCGATATAGTATCTCTAGACTAGATAAAAGTGGGCAGGCAGCACCACCGAAAGTAGCTCAGCAGCTCCCCTATACTATTGGTGACCCCACGTAACTACTCTAGGTGCGCGGTAGGACTACACTGGGCGCGCCGTGCACTTACAATGTTGATTGGCGGTAGCCTTAGATAGTGGTATGTTTGTATAATACTGTATTCATGAGTTATATCAGTGAGAATATATACGTAAATTATCAAACTTACTGCAAAATAATTAATTAACATTGGTTTCAAATGATGAACCAATTCACAATTTCTAATTTAAGTTATAAATTACTGACACACTAAATCATAATTTTGACTTTAAGCTATAAATTAATGGTAACAAAAATTTATACATCACATACAAGACATACATTACTCGTTAAACAAGTTATAACTCAAAATAAATTATAAATTTTTTCTGTAAGTTATAAAAAATTTGTAGTTCATCATTTTCATTCTAATTACACAATAGTCGTAAAATATTCGTTTCAAAAATGTTTTTAAAATATGGTGTTATATAAGTGCTTCAGCAAAATTCAATAATTAATGTTGGTAAACTATAAACAGTGGAGAGGGTAAATAAAAATCTAATTATTTTTTATGTACATTTTGAGCTAAAACTGACGATTTACAAATAATGTGGAGTGACAATAAATAAATTTCCCATGCTAACATACCAAGAATGACTGTATTTCCCGATGATTATACTTTTAAAAAATGCATTTATCATGAAATTGGATCTACTAACTGTGTATAGTATAATATTTTTTGATAGCTGACGCAGACATCAATTGCTGCTAGCTGTTACTATTTTAATCAAATACTTAAGTAGCAAAGAATGGCTCTGGAAGTTTTAGTCACGATGCTGCGTGCACAAATAGGTATACCTAGCATTTACGAATACACCAACTGCAGATTTTTACTACGGTTTGATTATTAAAACTCATCCACTTTATTTAATAAAAATAGGACACAAGTTGTGACTCAATAATTTATGTATAGGTACAATCCTTATTGATATACTCATCTATACTGAATTCTCAGATCAGACTGTGAGGCCGACTGTAGCACGAATAATTTGACGCGTAGGCATACCACTATCTAGCGCTACCGCTAATCAACATTGTCGGAAGCCAGCACGCCAGACGTTGTGGGCGCGCGGCGCGTCCAGTGTAGTCCTGCCGCGCACCTAGAGTAGTCACGCAGTGTCACCAATAGTATAGGGGAGCCTTTTTTCCATTGCATACACTAACTTTTCTTTTTTCCTAATTAAAAGCTGTATTTCCCGTAAAATTAACAATTTTATCGGCCTCTTGGGTACTGACAGAACAAAGTTTTTAGATAGAGTTGACTTTCTCATTAACTCTAACTAATTCTCTTTTAATGGCAACGTTTACAGGCAATGCTGTGAAATTCCCATGGGGGGTTGTTGATCTCCCTGGTGAGCGGAAGTCATTTTAGAATCTTTGGACAGTTCATTCTTGAACGGATACCAGGATTCCATCTGACTGTACTTGAGATATGTTGATGATTGTCTATTGGTGTAAAAACTGATCAAATAAATAATGTTCTAAATCTTTTTAATAATTTAACCCCTTTATACAATTTAAAGTTAAATATAAAGTTAATAATTTAATTCCCTTCTTATATATTTATATTACACGTTTTCCTAATTCTGTTAGCACAATAGGTTTATATGAAAATTTCTTAGTCGTAGGTAGATTATTTAACTTTTTTTCGTATAACCCAAAATGACAGAAAATTGCTTTTATTTATTTTTTGATTGACAAAGCTTTTAAGCTTGCAGATCCGTCTTTTGGATCTAAAAATATTGCAATAGCTCATAAGATTCTTGCCAATAATGTTTATCCTCCATTCTTTATTAACAGATATATAAAAGCTAGAATTAGTTTTCTTAACAGACGGAAAAAAGGTTTCCAGGAATTTTGCACTCTAAACCTTCAGGAATGCGATACTAATGTTGATTATCGTTCCTTAAATTTGTCAGTTCTGAACAGTTATGTGTTCTTTGTTGTTCCCTACTTCCGGTTGATGGAGACGAGTTTTCACAGAGTCTTATCCAAATACAATATTCGTATTGTTTACACAGGCTCTGGGAGATTGACTTACATTATTAGGCTGGGAAAGGACTCAATAAATAAGTTAGATACGAGTGGCATTGTCTAAAAGATTTCATGTAGGTGCAGATTATGTTACATTGACTTAAGTAAGAGACACTTCTACATTTGCGTGAGCACGATCGTTACATTAAAAACAGGGACAAAAGGTCGGCTTTGTATAACCATTCTGTACAGTGTCCGCAGGGTTTCGATTTTGAAAAAGCAGTGATTGTTGGTCAAGAACCAAATAAATACAAGCGCAAATTTTCTGAAATGATTCTTATAAAACTCATGAATAATAACATTAATAGACAATGAGATACACAAAAACTTAACAATTTTTACAAGAATTTCCTAATTTCAAAGATTAAATGAAAATTAAATCATAGTTCTTTGTACGTTATTATATTTAGAACACTTTTAAAAATTCTATATTGACTATTATTATTATTGTTAGTTTGACACAATTTTTACATGTCTCTTTTACATACCTGGTATTGTATCTTTTTTAATGTTCACTGCTTCCTCTAAGATATATTTAGTTTGTGTTTGAGCCTTAACTTATTTTTATTGGTTACATGTGTGCGCCATATTTATGTAACTTTGTTGGAGTATAGAGACTGAATTAAACTAATATACATCAGGCATACCGGAAGAAATACTTATTTTTGACTATTTAAAAATTCGAGTATGAATCTGCAACAGTAGCACGGTTGCCAAGGTTTTGTCTGTTTCTTAAATTTACTTATTAGAGCTTCCACGCTACTAGATTTTGTCTCTAATGTTATTCGTTAAATCTCATTGTACAACTAGTCATGGATTTAAAAAAAAGACGAGATCAAGATCTAGATTTTTCATAATCATGTAGAATTTATGATATAAGTTATGTCAGAAACCAACCTGGTTACGAAAATTTTTTTTTAGATAGAAAATTTTTTTCAGAAAAATTCGTAAAAATAAACTTTTTACAAATAAACTTACCTTCTATTTCGATGCGACTTTCTTCACTTCTTATGTAATGTACCATTAAGTTGGTTAGGTTTTTGTATTCTTCATAAGACATCGTCAGCTTTTTTTTTGACAGTAAATGATTTTCAGGATTGTTCAGTTTTGCTAAAACCAAAAATTTAAACACATTTTACGTTTTTTATTTATATTTACATTCACATAAGAACGTTACAAGTCAATTTTAATTTTTCACTACCATATATGTACATATA